ATTTTTTTCTAGATGTATACAAATAGTAAGACGAGTATATGAACATCCCGTGCTCCATTATATGTGTCATAACTATGGGGTCTATTCACTAAGCCGAGTGAAAGACTGACCTGAAGTGAAGTGAGCCGAACAGAGTATGTATAGGCAACATACAGTATGGGAAAAAGGAAGTAAGAGATTATATGTAAACCTGCCAGTTTACTTTGTGAATAAAAAAAATGTCCAATCATGTGCAAGGAAAATAAATTAAAAAAACAGTATTGTTGCTTGTACTTGATTGGGTGATGAAAGCCTGTTTGCTTTTAGTAAGTCAACTCCATGACCTCAGGATCTCAATGTTATACCCCAAAGACACGTCCTGCTATAACTGCCATCATTTTTCTCTGTGTGGTTTGTGATCATACATGTACATGGACACTGCCATATATGGTCATTACATCAGCAGGCAATTCCTCCTCTTTGGCAGATGGCTGCTCATTACTATGCAAGTCAGCTGACCCAATGAAAATAATTAGACATGTAAGCTGTGGAAAAATGTGGCTCGGCTCGGATATTTCGTTATTTCGGGATCCGGATCCGTAATTCAATTCGGGTCGGGTTTCGGATTTGGACGAAATCCGAATTTCGTTAGTTTCTCATGAGTTTACGAATATTCGTTGCGAATACCACACAAAACCATCTACAGATATTAAAGGTGAACTATGAGGTGAGTGATTTTTTCGCTCTTCCTCATAGTTGGAGCCGACGTGTGACAATGAGACTGTCACAGGTCGGCTCAATAGAGACTGTCACAGGTCGGCTCCCTGCAGGGATTCCCCCCCTCCCCTGTCTGATCCTCTAGCGCTGACTGGCGGAACGGACGAGGGAGGGGCAGGGGTGTATCTACTGCAAGGCAAACTAGGCATTTGCCTAGGGCGGCACTTTCCAGGGGGGCGCCAGAAAATGCTGCCCCCAAACCAGTTAGGTGAGAGAAAAAAAGAAAAATTATATTATAAATAATTCATAAATTACTGCCAGTACTCCTGGACCTGGTGCTTCTTTGACTGGGGGATCAACGTGTCCACCTATGCCGCCTACTCCTACATGTATGCTGCAGTTCCTTCCTCTTCCTGGTCAATGTGCTGTGCAATGTATTGATGTGTGTGACCTTCGTCCAGATGCACTGGCAGTTCGGACCTCCATGGGAAACCGGCACCAAAATTTCTGACTTCAGGCAGCGGAGAAGCTTCCGCAGGATCCCCAGGGCTGAGATCCAGATGTTCATCATGCTCATCGACATCCCCATGGTGGTGAGTCTGGGGAAGTGCAGCCTATAAACTCCATTCAGGGTTATGTCTCTAGAGCGGGGCGAGATACAGAGCCCAGCGGCCAAGGCAGAATTAGAGGGCCCAGCATATTAAGGCAGAAGATCGGTGCTGCAGCTGCAGAACTAGGGAGCCAATCAAGGAATAGAGAAGGTGGCTATTGCAAAGGTAGAACTAGAGCGTCCCGCTACGTTGAGAGCACAACCTGTCGGAATC